TTTTATTCGGGAAAAAAATTTGTTTTTTATATATCAACATGGATCTCTATGGAAAGATGACGAAAAATCGAGAACAACGATATATTCCTTTTTTCCAAAAAAACTGGCCTAAAAAAATTTTAAACGAAAAAAATAGGTGGGTTTTTTGGTAAGGAGGTAATTTTTTTGGTATAATCCGGTGTGTGTTCCGATGCTCGTTGGTTCTTTGTTAATTATGGTTCTCTATTGAACCTCACCCTATATATATATATATATATATATATATATATATATATCTATATATATATATATCTATATATATATATATATATATAGAGAGAGAGAGAGAGCTAGGTTCAAATGTGGATTGACATCTATTGTGTGGACGTGTGGACAGTGTTATTCTGTGAGAATGACAAAGAAAATATGTTGTTTTATAATATAAATACGTTCAATCTTACATAACTATTGTCATTAACACACATTCTCACTAATTAAATCATCTGTAAAGTTATTATAGATTTTTTATTATTATTCTCATTCTGTCATAATGTTTATTGAGTCGTATTCTGTCAGAATGAAAGTGAGTGAAAAACGATGTGTGAGAAAAATATGAATAAGAATTAGTGAGTATGCATGAAAATGATGATATTTATGTATGGTTGAACGTATTCGCATTACTAAACAACTTATTCTCTTAGTAATTATCATAGAATAGTACTGTCCTCACGTCCGCACAATAATTGTCCATCCACATTATAACGTAGCCCTATATATATATATATATATATATATATATATATATATATATATATATATGTATTCTTAATTCCAAGTAAATGTGTAATTTAATACTACAGGGGTAATATTTATCCAATTATAATTGGCTTAGTAATTCATAAATTATGCAACCGAAAAAGATATATGACACCATACATCTAAATGTATCATTTTACATTTGATACATTAGTTTATCAACTACTTTTACTAAACATACTCTATGAGATACCAACTAACTTATCACACAAAAACTAAATTTTAAGCTAAAAAAATTAACTTTTTCTATCAGCTACCAGCTAACTTATCAAACAAAAGCTAAATTTTCAGCTAAAAAAGTTAACTTTCAGCTGCTCAGCCAACCACATCCTTAGAGTTTCTCCTTAGAGTTAGAAACACTCTATTTTGTTTAGCTAAACATATCCTTCTACTAATAGGCCTATCCAACTCTATCTTTGAATTCTTCAACAATGGAGTTTTAACAATCGGATTAATTCTCAAAATCGATCAACGGAATATTGATCAAGGTTAAAATCCGTATAACCGTTTCTTTGAGTCTTATTTTTGTTGTGATCCATTTTATCGTCTGTAAATTCCATCCTTGTAGCTTCTATTGTTTTGGATCCAGAATTCTGTAAATTCGGATCACACATATTATTACTTCATAAACAAGGCACTTGGTACATGTTAGCATGTGTAGTTGGTTATAGGTGTTCACATATATGATCCAACGCACTTGGAACTGGACCACATCCTTAGAGTTTCTCCTTAGAGTTAGAAACACTCTATTTTGTTTAGCTAAACATATCCTTTTACTAATAGGCCTATCCAACTCTATCTTTGAATTCTTCAACAATGGAGTTTTAACAATCGGATTAATTCTCAAAATCGATCAACGAAATATTGATCAAGGTTAAAATTCGTATAACCGTTTCTTTGATTCTTATTTTTGTTGTGATCCATTTTTATCGTCTCTAAATTCCATCCCTGTAGCTTCTGTTGTTTTGGATCCAGAATTCTGTAAATTCGGATCACACATATTATTACTTCATAAACAAGGCACTTGGTACATGTTAGCATGTGTAGTTGGTTATAGGTGTTCACATATATGATCCAACGCACTTGGACCTGGACCAGAACCAGACCAGGTTTCAGGTTTAGTAATAATGTCCGGTTACCAGTTCTCCACTTTTATAAAAATTGGTTACAGTTCTAACACTGGTTTGGTTCTAAAAAACTTAAACCGAACGAAAATTTGTCCTGCTTATTGAAATGCACATAACTCACTCATATGAAGTCAGAATTACTTGATTTTTTTTCAACATGTAAGTTGGTGTTTGTACTTCACTTTAGATTGTAGAAATACATATTTTGGTTAGATATTGAATCAAATATAAGCCCCGAAAAACAGCATACCAATGTTGTGATTTTTCCGTTTCAGCAGTTTGTTTTTTTTAGAATTTGTCCGGCTTTTTAAAAAACGCATAACTCACTCATATGAAATCAGAATTACTTGATTTTTTTCTAGCATGTAATTTGGTATTTGTACTTCATTTTAGACTGTAGAAATACATATTTTGGCTAGATATCGAATAAACTATAGGCCCCGGAAAATAACATATCAATGTTGTGATTTTTCCGTTTCAGCATTTTGTTTTTTTAGAATCTGTCCGGCTTTTTAAAAAACGCATAACTCACTCATATGAAGTCGGAATTACTTGATTTTTTTTCTAGCATGTAATTTGGTGTTTGTACTTCATTTTAGACTGTAGAAATACATATTTTGGTTAGATATTGAATAACCTATAGGCCCCGGAAAACAACATATCAATGCTGTGATTTTTCCGTTTCAGCATTTTGTTTTTTTTAGAATCTGTCCGGCTTTTTAAAAAACGCATAACTCACTCATATGAAGTCGGAATTACTTGATTTTTTTTCTATCATGTAATTTGGTGTTTGTACTTCATTTTAGAATGTAGAAATACATATTTTGGTTAGATATTGAATCAACTATAGGCCCCAGAAAACAGCATATCATTGTTGTGATTTTTCCGTTTCAGCATTTTGTTTTCTTGGAATATGTCCCGCTTTTAGAATATGTCACTCATATGAAGTCGGAATTACTTGATTTTTTTTTCTAGCATTTAATTTGGTATTTGTACTTCATTTTAGACTGTAGAAGTACATATTTTAGTTAGATATTGAATTAACTATAGGCCCCGGAAGACAACATATCAATACTGTGATTTTTCCGTTTTAGCACTTTGTTTTTTTTAACATGTTTGCTTTTGTGCATAACTCACTCATATGAAGTCGGAATTACTTGATTTTTATCCTAACATGTAATTTGGTGTTTGTACTTCATTTTAGACTGTAGAAATACATATTTTGGTTAGATATTGAATTAACTATAGGCCCCGGAAGACAGCATATCACTGCTGTGATTTTTCCATTTCAGCATTTTGTTTTTTTTATGTCGCGCTTTTTAAAATATGCATAACTCACTCATATGAAGTAGGAATTACTTGATTTTTTTCCAACATGTAATTTAGTGTTTGTACATCATTTTAGAATGTACAAACATATTTTCATTAAATATTGGATCATATACATGTCTCGGAAGACATCATATCATCTACAACATATCAACCGATTCTAGTTTGAAAAGTAACCAAAAAACCGGGACCGGAATCGAAACCGGCATGGCACCTGCGGTCCGGTTCCCGGTTCCTATAATATAGCAAATCTGGTTTCGATTCCGAACCGGTCCGTTTCTAAAGTTCATCCCTAGTTTACATATGTTTTACACCAAAAATGGCGTTTACAACAGAGCGGTGTTGGATTGGAGATGCCCTCGGTGGCAATAAAGTCGAAAAATACAAAAAAAAGACATGTTTTATACCAAAAATGTTGTTCACAAAAAAAAGTTTGTTTGTTTGCTGAAAACTTTTGATTAAAACAAATAATTGAAAAGAGGAAGACATAAGAAAAGAAATTAATTCTTTTGTTTTTGCATTAAAAGACAACAAACACACGGAGAAAAAAGAGTTTATTGTAATGGAGTCATTGTAAGACCCACTAAAATAGCTTTTCAAAAAGCTATATGAAATAGCATATCGATAAGTTCATTAGACTTTTTCCACAAATTTTCCAAATACACTCTTCAAATTAAACCAATTGTTTTTCTTTAACATTTGAGTTTTTAAGGGCGATTCTAAGGGCGTGTTTGGCACGGAGCTTTTGGAAGCGTTTGAGAGCTTTTGGGAGCGTTTGGGAGCTTCTAGCTTTTAGTTTTTGACAAAACGCTCTAGTTTAAACAAAAAGCTTCGTTTGGCAGTACGAGTGTTTAGCTTTTAGTTTAAACAAAACGCTTCAATTCTAAAAGCTACTTCATGTAGGGCGTGTTCGGCACGATGCGTTTGGGAGCGTTTGAAAGCTTCTAGCTTCTAGCGTTTGACAAAACGCTCTGTTTTTAACAAAAAGTCTTGTTTGACACTACAAGCTTGTAGCGTTTAGTTTAAAAAAAACGCTCCAAATCCAAATGCTATTTCATGTAGCGTTAACAAAACGCTACAAGCTACAAGCTACCCGCTAACAGCTAATTTTGCCGAACACGCCTGTAGTGTTTAACAAAACACTACTGAGCTTTTGAAATCAATTTCCATAATTACTCTTAAAAATATATTTATATATTTATTTATTTTTAATCAATTGTCCTTTTATGTAATTTTATATTTTTCAAAAGCTTCCAACTACTTTTGTCAAACATTCATATAACAAATAAAAGCTACAACTTCCCGCTACCAGCTACCCGCTACACGCAACAGCTACCCGCTACCCGCTACCAGCTAACCGTTACCCGCTTCCAGCTAACAGCTACTTTTGCCAAACACGCCCTAAATATTTTTCATATTAAAGTCCAATAGCTTTGGATTCATTTTTCTATCATATTACCAAAAAGAAAAAAGATATGGTTGCATTATTTTCTTAATTCCATGTAAATATGTATTTTAATACTACAAGATGCAATTTTTGTATTGAATAACGAGGTAATAATTACACAATTATAATTGGCTCAATAATTCATAACATTATGCAAAAAAGGACATATGGCACAATATATTTAAATGTCCTGTTATATCATTTTACCTTTGACATAATAGTTTATCAGCTACTTTTACTAAACATTAACTAGCTTATCAGACAAAACCTAACTTTTGAGAAAAAAATTAACTTTCCAACCACATCCGCAAAGTTGAAAACACTCTGTTTCGTTTAGCTAAACATATCTTTTTACTAATAGGCCTATCCAACTCTATCTTTGAATTCTTCAACAATGGAGTTTTAACAATCGGATTAATCCGTCAAAATCTATCAATGAAATATTGGTTAAGGTTAAAATCCGTATAACCGTTTTCTTGAGTCTTATTTTTGTTATCATCCGTAAATTCCATCTCCTTAGCTTCTGTTGTTTTGGATCCGGAATACTGTCAGTCTGGATCACACATATTACTCCTTTATAAACAACCCACTTGGTGCATGTTAGCATGTGTAGTTAGTTATAGGTGTTCTCATGTATGATCCTAGCTGTCGTTATCTGATTGGTGATTCCTTGATACATAATCATCTGATTCCAGGAATTGTTCCAGTTGTATTACAGATACTCAACATCCTGCAATGTCCATGAAAGATCTTGAAGATAAAAGAACAAATCTTGAAATTTAAAGAATTTTTAAGTAGTATTTTAAATCCTAAATTTAATAACTTACAATTTTCCTCATCTGTCATGCTACTTAGGTTTGGAAACTGTGATCCGTTTCCACATAAATCACTGATTATTCTGCATATAGATTGTATAAAAATATTTAAAAGGATGTAGTTTTTGCAAATTGTTTAAGAGGGATAGACATAATATGCAATCTCATCGAGTTATTCTTCATAAATACAGATCAAGAAACTCATGATTTTGAGAAAGGAAAACAGAAGAAACATAGAAGTTGTTAATTATACATCCAAATTCAATACTTTTATGTACTTCCATGTTCATATTATCAAGATTGAAGTAGCACTTACACAAATATGACCAATGTTTTTAAGAATTCAGATTATTCATGTAGGTGTGATGAAACCTACAATCTGAAGCCCTGTTCCTCATTGAAATTGGAACTCAATCTTTTGTTCATCTTGAAGAAGGGTTCCAGTTTGTATATCATCTTCCAAATTGTTGACACTATGTTCTCTGTGAATGTGAATATAGAAAGAGAAAGAATATATATCAGGATAAATAAAGAACCACTAAAGATGCACATAAAGAAATGCTATATAGCCTAAAATAGGGTTCAATCAGTGAAGAAATGGAAGAGGAAGAACTATTACATACAGATGCCTCAATTTGGATATTTGTGATATAAAATCTGGAATTGTCCCAGTTGTATTACAGCTACTCAACAGCCTGCAATACCCATGAAAGATCTTGAAGATAAAAGAACCAATCTTGAAATTTAAAGAAGTTTTTTAGTAGTTTTTTAAATTCCAAAATTAATGACTTACAATTTTTCTTTGTTTGTCATGCTGCTTAGATTCGAAAACTGTGATCCGTTTCCATATAAATCACTGATTATTCTGCATAGAGACTGTATAAAAAATTTAGATTAGTACATAATTGTATGGATAAACACAAATGAATTTTCTAAAAGGGAAGTATCAAGCTTACAATTCTTCCAAAAGTTGCTGATTTTACATCCAAATTCAATACTTGTATATACTCCCATGCTCATATTATCAACAATTGTTTTCTCTGAAGTATCTGGTATTCAAACAGAAGGTGGAACACTTCTTCAAGATGAAGGCTATTCTTTTGATCTATGATAGAACAAAAGAATTGCCTTCATCTTGAAGAAAGGTTCCAGCTTGTGTTTGAATGCTAGCTACTTCAGAAAAAACAAGTGTAGAGACATGGGAGTAAACAAAAGTATTGGATTTGGATGAAAATCAGCAACATTCAATCTGATGTATTTATAATGTGATTTACCTTTGCTTGTTTCATTCACTGTGACATATCAGAGCGAAACTAGACAAGTCCACAGAATGGGAAACAGGAAAACGACGACTCGAGAGCTTATTCTAGCAACATAAAAAAACCTAACGAACGAGATATTGCAATGAAGATACGTGGAGATCATTAAATATAGATGATGTGACATACCGATAAAGCATGATGTGTGCGATCTCCCATGCCATTAAAAGATCATTCCATTTAATATATCATGCTTTGAGGGAAACAAGAGAAGAGGGTAGTAGGTAATAGGTAGTAATGTTTACAATGTGATTCCATGAAATCGAGTAAATGCGAAGTATGGACAAAGGTTGCGGCAGTTGAAAACCGATGAACAAGAAATTTCTGTGAAGATGCTTGGATAAACGAGGACAATGTCCTTTTCCTTTGCATTGTGCAATGTTTCGTTTTCCAGCCCATACTTCAAGGTTCTTTTTTTACTTTAATGCATATATATATATATATATATATATATATATATATATATATATAATATATATATATATATATATTATATATATATATGTTAGGGCCAGCCATATACATAAAAGAGGATAATACATTTTGGGCTTTTAGAAAAAAAATTTAAATAAATAAAAAACTTCATCTGATATTTTTTTGACAATTAGATTATTTTTTATACATCTTACTTTTTAAATTTGGATAATTTATAAAAGGTTCTTAAACTTCAAGTATGTTTTTCTCGTTCCTCCTATTTTTTTTTTCTTTTTTGTGATCTAAACTCTATATCTTAAGTTTTTTTTTAAATAAAAAAATCATATTTACCATAACATCATTTTTTGATACTTAAAAATGGAACTTTGCAAGTTTTTATTTTTATTTTTTCCCTTGTTATTTGTTATTATATGTTTTTAGATTAACATTAAATAAATTTTGCAAACAAAAAAACCTTATGTTTATAAATCTTTTATATTTTCACCGTAATATATAATTTTTGTTTTTTTTTCTATATTATATCTATTAATATAGTAAAACATATTTATACATGAAAAATGTTTAATTAAACATTGTACTTCAATTTTTTTAAATCTATTTTTTCGGGTTTTTTCTACCTACTTATATGGTTAAAAATGAATATATATATATATATATATATATATATATATATATATATATATATATATATATAGAGAGAGAGAGAGAGAGAGAAAGAGAGAGAGGAGTATAAATATGCTTTTTAGAATTAAGAATATGTTTTTTTTATGTATATAGAAATATAGATATATTTTCAAAGGTATAGATATATTTGTAATATATTAGTATGTTTTTAGAAGTATAAATATATGTATCTACGCATTTATTGTTATATCAAACAAAAGTGTGTTTACATGAAAAATATATATTTAATAAATGTATGTTTTTATATTTTAGATACGTAAAATATAGATGTAAACTTCTTAAACGTGTATTTTTAAAATATGTATTTACACTTTAAAAAAAATGTAATCATACTTCTAAAAAACATAAAAACAAGTTTTTATACTTCTAAATTAAATATGTATATATATTTCTAAAAATATATTTATATTTTTTAAAATATAAAGTACATATTTATACTTTCAGGAAACGTAATAATATTTCAAAATATGTATTTATACATCTTGATGTTCCTTCATGCTAGATCTAGTTATCCCTTGAGTTTTACGCATTTTGTCCCATAACCTTGGTCTTAATGGGCATGAGCTACTCCAGACCTTGTGAGTATCATTTTTAAACGTTTATGAGCTTGTGAAATCATAAAAATGGAGTTTGGTCACTCTCATCCATCCATGCATGAGTTCTTGAGCATTAGAATGTTTTATGGACTTAGGGTTTGGCCTTGTGCTCTTTTTAGCCATGCAAAGGTATAAAGTCAGAGACTTTACCCCTTACGATGTTCATTAGATTCAGATATGAGGATTGGATGTTTGGTCTTTGTGTATTAAAAAGCTTATTAATAAGTTTTGGTAAATTAGTGTATTACGTTGGGCGTAATCTTAGCTACGCTTAGCATAGCCTGAAATTCCCCTGTATTTCCATATGAGGCTCTACATTGAGCGTAGAGCATGGTGTTACGTTGGTCGTAGCACTAGAAGGTTGATTTTTTTTTACAAAATGGATTATTGGTCAAGTGGAGTGGGTTCTAGTCTTGGAAGCGTAAAATGATCTTTTATCCCAATGAGAGTAGCTATGAACCAAGACCCTTGAGTATCGATTATTACATTAATTTCTGATTAAGGTTTTATTATGTATATGATTAGTGTGAGGAGTTCTAGTATCAGCAGCTCAGGTGTGAGATTTGCCTGTCTTCAGATTGAAGAGAGTCTTCTCACTATACTGTTAGAATGATAGTTGTCTTTGTGGCTCTTGCATATATATGTTAGGTTGTGCCCATTTGTATGTTGGGTTGGGCCTATTAGTATGTATGTTGGGCTGATCCCATTTGCATGTTGGGCCCCTTATTTGTATATTGGGTTAGGCCCATTAGTATGTATGTTGGGTTAGGAGCATTTATATGGTTGGACCGGGCCTATTAGTATGTATGTTGGGTTGAGCCCATTTGCATGTTTGGTTGGCCCTTTTTGTATGTATGTTGGATTGGGCTCATTTGTATGTTGGTTGGGCCCATTTGTATGGTATGTGGTATTTTGCGGAACTCACTAAGAGGTCATTTGATAGTTACTAACTGGGTTAGAACTGACCGGGTTAGAAGCTGACTGAGTTACAAGTTTTGACTGAGTAAATTTCTTACTAAAAACTTGTTGTTTAATTTTGCATCTGACTGATAGTGCAAAATGACTATATTACCCTCAGATAATATCTTTTACAATAATTCCTTTGCATCAGCACATAAAGAAAACTACATATTTTTATTTATTTCTCTAATATCATTGTACTTTGAAATTTAATGGTAACATTCATAAAGTTCTTGAAAATTTAAACTTTTTAAAACAAACCACAACCACCATTGTTTACAAATTGTTTTCAAAATAAGTTCCATATCAGAAAAATCCCAAAATCGTAAAGAAAAACATGAGGAGGTGCACGATCACGCATTCGCCTTCCTGCGATCCTCTGAAGTACCTGAAACATAATCCAAAACTGTAAGCTCAAAGCTTAGCGAGTTTCCCCCAAAATACCAATACATAGCAAGTAGCATAGATATAATAACAGCATACTATGGGCCCAATCAACCATCGGGTTGGAATGCCAATATACTATGGGTCCGATCAACCATCAGGTTGGAATACCCCAGGCCCTCAACCATCGGATTGGAATGCCAACATATTATGGGTCCAATCATCCTCGGGATGGAATACCCCAGGCCCTCAACCATCCGGTTGGAATGCCGCAGCCTGTTGGCTTACGCACAAAGCAGTGAAGCCTCATCCACCAGCTAATCATGTGCACATAATACATATAACCATACTATTAACCAGCTAGCAAACAAATAAAACACATATCTTACATATCACAAAGCATAGCATCATCCTAACTATCAGGATACTGATGTACCAGACCACTATAGCATAACATGCAAAACATGATTTCAATCCAAGGGACGACATTGGTGCCTACGACCCTCAAGTACAGTGAGAAAACTCACCTCACAAGCAGCTGAACTGATAATGCTCTAACTCCGGAACTCAGCTTCCGACCCGAATGCCTACAACCATCATGTGACCAATTCCATCAAAATCCTAAAATACCAAAAATGCCCTCAAAAGTAAAACTTCGTTAACCATGGTCAAAGTCAAAGGTCAAAGTTCAAGGTCAACAATCCATGTTGACCCAACTCGTCGAGTGCACCCACCAACTCGTCGAGTTCCTTCAGTACTCGGAAAGTCGGGAAAATCCTAGCCAACTCGCCGAGTTCCCCCCCCCCTACTTAACACATTCGGATGATTCTTCGATTACAGGGACTCTAAGGCTCAGATCTGAACTCCAAATGTGTCTAAAAGGATAAAGTTTCCAACTTTATCCTTTGGAACCACCCCAAATGCTCAAAGGCTCTTATCCAAGGCTTGATCAAATGCTTAACCATTAAGCCCAAAACCCTAGAGATCTGGAACCCAAACTTTCCAGATGATATTCTAACCTCAAAAACGTCCCACAGGTTAATGCTTTATAGACATGCATGTCCAATGCATGTCTTGAAGCCAAAAAGGGCCAAAAAGAGGAAATATGCCCAAAAATCCATGCATGGCATCAAAGCTTGACAAAAATCTAGATCTAACCCACTATGAGGCCATCTTGCCCCGGAGATTCATAAAGTTTCAAACTATATGAACTTCATCCTTGCAACAACCAAGAATAAGGAGGAAAAAGGGGCAAAACTCAAGATCTAGCTACATATATAGATAAAAAACGGATCTTGAATACTTACAACAGTCCACAAGAATGCCAAAATGAATACTAAAGGCTTTGGTTTCTAGTTCCTTGCCTCCTTCTCACAATCTTCTCCTTCTTTTGCTCCAAAATGCCACGCTAACTCACAATATGAGAGGAAATGAAGATTAGGGCTCACAAGGTCGATATTAGGGTTTGGAGGCTGATAAAAGATCAGCCTCAAAGATTTAAGGAGGTTATATAGGGTGCAAACCCTAAAATTTAGGGCTTCTCATCCAGCCGCCAACTCGTCGAGTTTTTCCTTACCAACTCGTCGAGTTGGTCCAAAAAGATGTGCGACCAAAAACTTTCAAACACGTTGAGTTGAGGCCATCAAGTCGACGAGCTCCAAGGGGAAACTTGCCTCTTAAGGAATAAATTTCATACCTGGAAATCGGGATGTTACAACTCTCCCCCACTTGAACTAGACTTCGTCCTCGAAGCCTGTTGTTGTGAACAAATCTAGATAATGCTCCTGCATCTCAACCTCCGGGTCCCAGGTCCACTTAGATCCCCTCCGATGTTGCCATTGTACCTTTACCAAAGGTACTTCCTTACTACGCAGAACCTTTACCTTCCTTTCCAAAATAGATATCGACCTCTCGACATAGTTTAGGTGCTCATCAACCTGAATGTCATCCAATGCTACCACTGCATCCTCGCACAATACGCACTTCCACAACTGTGAAACGTGGAAAGTGCTATGAATCTGTCTGAGCTTCTCCGGAAGATCCAATCTATAGGTAATCTTGCCAACCCTGGAAACAATCCTGAATGGTCCGATATATCGGGGGGCCAACTTCGCCCTCTTCCTGAAGCGAATCACACCTTTCCAGATGGAGACCTTCAGCAACACCATGTCAAAGACCTGAAACTCCAACTCAGATCGTCGCCGGTCGGCATATCTCTTCTGCCGACTCTGAGCAGTATGCAACCTCTGTCTGATCTACTGAATCATCTCTGTAGTTTGCAGAACCACTTCAGTCCAACCCATGACCCTGTTA